GCCGCACTCCAAACCGTGTCAGTGAGCGACAGCTACGAAGTGTTTTTCTCTATCTTTTTGGTTTTTGTCGGGTTATTTCCGTCTCRCTTGCAGWTGTGACGAAAGACATGACATACGAATATTTAACGGAATTAGACAAACAAGAGTTCTTAAAGCTAGACGCCTGGTGACTGACAGTTCTAAAAATAAGGTTATATGGGTGTATGTTGTTGTCGCTATCTGAAAACCTTATAACGAATAATAATAATAAAAACTTATAGTAGGCACAATGTATTTTGATTTATTTGTTATTGACGTTTCAACGCAAATAAACTAATCAAAGATATATTCTTTAGAGAAGACSACCAACTATATTACAATATTAATCAAATATTAAAATAGGGCTGTTTTTAAAGTCATTCAGCAATGTATGGTATCCCTCGATGGTATCCCAGTAATGAAATATATGATCTGAGAGACCTGGCGAGAAGGAAAGGGTAGCCTTCATTCAACCCTWAAACCAAAACTGACAGTTTTCGGCTGAACGCAGGATAGAAAAGGGTTATATGTATACAAAACATAGCAGACTAAAGAGCCGTGTAATTACCGTGTTTATAGGTGAAATAGGCTTATCGGATGTTTTGACTAAGCCTGTTCACGATTGAAAACGAAAATCATATGGTCTATGGATCCGGTTTTTGTCATTGTCTAATGGCCCAATCCTAATTCCTATATTCAGATTAGTTTGATGAATTGTTTATCGTTTTATTGACTGTAGCTTTGCTTATCGTAAGAATAAGGTGTATTCATACAGCGGAAATGAATGTCTACACAAAGAAGTCGCTAAACATTTCTATGCAGGTGATTAATAGCATTGTCAAAACATATTATCATTTTCAATCATCATATCTTTTTCGCATCATTGTCAGATCACTATTTGCGTATTCGTAACATTTTTCTCCTTCGACGTCACTGAAACAACACAAAAACGACGGCAAAAGTCCAAAAACACATTAGCGTAGATAAAGTCTAGAGACATAAGATATAACCATCATCACGATTGATAGATCATATTACATCTTAGATCATCACCAGGCAAAGCTTTATTTCACTCGTCATGACACTATAGCTCAGGGCTGTTATGTCGAATTTCCATACTACTTGTACTGAATAAATTGTGTATTTAAAATCTTCAAACAATTGAAACATTTGTTTTTAAACGAGTTAAAGACATATAATATTGTTGTTGTTATTACTCCCACAACCTGCTGCTGAATGCCTATTCAAAGCACTCAGACAAATACTGAGAAATAGGTTCTTTTTTAGCGTTAATTGTTTTTTATTTTATTTATTTATTTATTTATTTATTTATTTATTTATTTATTTATTTATTTATTTATTTATTTATTTATTTATTTATTTATTTATTTATTTATTTATTTATTATTTTTATTTTTAGGTTAAAGGAGGCTGTGATTGGAAAATACAACAGAATTAAGTATTGCGTTTCTACGCATGACATCCTCAAAGAGACGATAAGTCTCTTTTGAAGGTGTGGTCGGCATAATGTTATTGCTATTATACATTGCATAAACAATAAAAACTGCGATCAGGCCTGCAGCGGTCTATATAAAAGTATTGCTAACTTACACAAAAATTCCGAGTAGTATTTTGGAATTACTGAGAGTGAAATTAGCAAGTTCAGACCAATTTTCTTTTGGTGTTTAATACAATCATAGTCAAAATGTAATTAAAAACTGGCTAATACTTCCCGTTATCTATCTATGCTTTTGTTTTCATTTAGTTGTATGTAATTACAATTTCTTTTCCACGAATATTGAACGCAATGTCATGYGCAGAAATAGAAACATTTATATTTCAAGCAGGGTTCAAGCAGTGAAAGAAGATCGCTCATCTTATGATACGTTCTTTGTCGATCAAAAACAAAGCAAAAAAACKAACTTTCAATGTTTGCCTTATAATGTATATATAGGTATATATGTCAACAGAGGATGTAGCCTTGTACATACACATATTATCCCTAATTTGGGCCACACAATGTGAACTCTGAATATTTTAAAATTAAAGCATCTGATATGGTCGAGTACCTTTGCTGTGAAAACATTAAAAAAGTTGTATAATTCGATATCTTAATTAATAACGGGAACAGGTGCTTGAAACTGACTCTGTTAAAAGACCTGAGCCTGGAATGTCTAGTGGGCAGCGGCTGACTCCCATTCAAAACAAGACCTGAATGCTTCTCTGCAGGTTGATTCAATGAARTTGGACGTTTGTCTAACGATTCCTTAAATATTACTGAACCTTTACAGAAGAATATGATTGGAAAATGATCACACGCCTTTGCTCAACGATAATGGCTAACATTCCGACCCATTATGTATAGATTCTTTCTGGGTTGAGCGGTTCTTGAGTACTGTACTTACTGTAGKGGATAGCATGCTGGTAGAGATGGTAGTTGTACAACATTTATTTATACCAAGGARCAAGATTTGTTCGATTTTGTTGGATTTAACCGATGGAGAACGGAAATGAGAAGCCAAACACTGGACTCGTTAACGAGACTAGTTTAAATGGCAGTAAAYACCAAGGAACTTGGAGAATTGTTTGTGGTGGTGATCAGAGGTTCTTTTTTGTAAAGTAAGTTTATTTTAATATTCTAATGTTTCTATGTTCTATTCATGTATGCTTCATATTCTTCAGCTCGTTAAGAACTTGTTTTCAAACAAGCATGTCGACGTTAAACTTTTGCTAAACTTTCTTCACTCTTCCAGTGTGAATGTTCTTTGAATATTCTTGTGTATTCAGATGTCCGTTCAGATGGAATATTTGTATTTTTAGGATTCTCGATTTAGATCTCGATTTCTAGTGTTTATGATCTGGATTTTTCCGTGATTTGGTTCGATATTTGAGGTTAAATATTGATCCATATTAGACACAAAGACGATGACACATGTTAAGATGTACAAAAACAGTGATGCTCTAAACGAATGCGACAACGTCTGCGTATATGTATGCATATTTGTAGAATGAATCAGCCAAATATGCAATTATGTACAAACGTGGTCGATTTCCCGTTTATTTAGATAGAGAATATTGTTCGTTTTGTTTGCACTATCTTCTCATATAACTTGATTTTGAAAACTCAAAATTCAATACTAATGATTCTCGGTTGGACACGTAATGCACTGACAATTCGGACGCACAGYGCGATATTTTAATTCTTTAATATTTTAGTTCAATTGTTTATTAATTGTAATTCTTTTCTSGAGTTGTTAAATTGAAAATAAAAGCATTATTGCAATGTCTTACAATTAGCGYATTACAAGGTTGTTACTAAATATTGTTTTGTACAACAAATCATCTATGTTTTTGCGGAAAATTGCGAAACTGAAAATTATATATTCATCTGCGATACATGCATCAATTCAATTAAAGTAAATTACTATAGTTACGAACTAGTTTTTCTGTGCTTCGTCTAAAGTTCYCTGTTTGTTGTATATTTTGACAAGAGTGTAAAAAAAATAATACGACTGATTTGAATAAAACAGGTATTAGCAGGTTCTATACGGACGGTGAGGCCTTAAACGTGCGCAATGAATAGCAACAACTACTTTATATACATGTACACATATAGAGAATAATATATTACTTAAACAATCATAGATCTCGTAAATCTGTTTTCTTAACTATATCGATCTCAACAACACGTTTTAGCAAAATGTCGATTGCAAATATCGCCACTCGTATTTATTATTTCCTTGTCCATCTAAAGTGCTTGCTTTAGGAAGCTCTCATTGATCAATTTGCATGGGTTATGCCTTAAGCCTGAACACAGTTGCATGAAATTATATTAGAGTATTTTTTGGGGTATTTTACTTTTCTTTCTAATAAATTCAAGTATTATAATATAATTGTTATTGATATATTGGACTTAGTTTAAAAAAATAGAATGCTGGAAATGTTGAACAACATCCTCAATGTCACGATTGTGATACAGAATAATAAAAAATGAATAGGTAAATGAGCCAAAACGAAAATATTTGAAAATATCTTTGTAGGATTTAGAATTGTAAAAAGTACTGCAGCATCTCGTGGAATTCAAAATAAAATTACATTATGGTTTATATAGWATCCATGTGGAATTTCATGCCGTCCAATAATCATTACTTAGTATATTGATTATTATATAATTTCTCTAATCTGTCTATAAGTGTAACAAATCTGTCTATAAGTGAAATGAAAGTTTATGCAATAAGAGTATTTTTGTAAATATATTTTATTTGCAAATGAATAGCTCAAGWGCAGCCATTCATGACATGCTATTACTCAGGCAACTTAACCARCTCAGTTTTTACAGCATTACAACAGTATAGCAAAGCTCTGATAACATGTGTTGTATTCTATATAAGCCAGAATTCTTTTTTGATGACACCATAATCATGTTAAATTACTGGTATTCAAGAAGACAACGTTATGTCTTTCATTGTTATCAAATTTKAAAACTCTATGTTTTGATTTCTTTTTGGACTTTAGCCATGACAAGTCTTGGCAATTAGTGTTATCAGTGATATTATGTATTTCTGAACACAGTGTCAATAGAGGATTAAGTTCATGATAGTTATTTGATAGCTTTTCTTTCTAAAGAAATATAGAGAATCCTAGCAAGTGTAGTTGAATGTAAGCGATAAACAATAGAGGAGTTTGTAGAGAGAACTCATTGYMTGCAGATTTTGTGTGTGAATTCTGGTTAAAATGGATAAGGTTTGAGTGATGTGACTWAAAGAAGTAATGRTATGATCATCAAAATGAAGATAATTTTATTTTGTGTGTATTGTTGATCACTTGGTGGTAAAARCTGCTGGATACTGCTGTTGTTTTGTGCTTAATTTGCATATCAATAACAATATTGTAATAATGTCACAAAATCTAAGCACATAATATCATACTTGTACAAAAAATGCTATTAGAATCTGATTTTAAGTCTTCTATATGTGTTTTTCTCTTTTTGTAGATTATATTCATAAAAAAACTTTGAATGAACAATTTCACTTTGCAATGTACTCTGTATTAAACAGCTGAATAATAACAACTCCCTGCTTAGCTATCATGAAGTAATTTGCATGTATTTGTATTTATGAATTAGAGTGGATCAATGTCGAAATCRAATGTTTCAGGACAAATTGTTAGTGAAKTTATTGGCATTTTGTAGTTCAGAGAGTGGCAAATCACAGTGGCTACCACCAGCAGACCTTTGGTCTAGTGAACTAGGTTTACCATATGGATGGGAAACTGGAATAAGTGGCAATAACATCAAATATTATATCAAGTAAGTCTCAATAACGTTTATTTACAGTGCTTTACCCTGGATTAAATCCACTATGCCTGTATTAGTTTCATAGTGTAATATTTCTTGTAATAATTGACTTGATACTTACAGTTTTCACTGGAAATGCATTCAGGTCAGGATAGTTGAAATATTCCCATGTACAGCTTATTCTATATAGCTTATCTTTGTATTAGTTTCATTTGATTAACCTCTTTCATGGTTCGTAATAATTGACATTCACAATTTTCACCTAGGGCTAATCATGTCACATGTGGCTAAGCTATTATGATCTATTATCATCTTGCATTGATACATATTTTAGCTRAGTACTTCATTGTTATAAGCATGTACTGTCATGCAGAGCTCTATAAATATATCACAAAGTCAAAGTACTATTGTTYGTATTCATATGTAAATTGAACTACGTTCAAATGGATGTTTCCAGGCTTCATGTTTCATCGGAACGATCAATTCAACTTCCTTGAGGGTTTCCCGTTGAAATATGATTAAGTAAAGAAAAACTGAAAACATTATACGAAAAAAGCTTGTTTAAGTTTTTCCCATATAACCTTGTGTACTTACAGATTTTATCCTGTCTTTCCTGCATCTGTGAATATAGTTCTTATACAGGAAAAAGTTTGAAATAGACTTAGATGACAAAACGATTAACAAAACACGAACGCACGCGTGCACCAAAATGGCGGGAAAATCCATCAAGGGATATGATTGGCTTAAAATTTGCTACTTTCTAAAGGACTGTGTCATGGTCAAGGACGTCATGCAGTTTTAATTTTTCAGAGAAAGAGTAGTCTATCATATTCTATCGTAGATAAAAGCAGGTTTAAAAGATACYCGAAACAAAGTTCATTAGAAAATTTACTGTTCTGTATGCTTGTGTTTAGTCATGTCGAAAAGACAACGACATTGGAAGATCCTCGTTCCGAGGCTGACCAGGCAATTCAAATGCGAATGGTATGTGTTTTGAAACCAGTTTTCTTGATATTGCGCTGTTGTGATTTGTCTCTGTGGTTTTCGTGGCGTTAAAATTCTAACCAGATCAGATAGTCAAATAGCACGATAACCTATATGCAYATGTGATATAAAAACAAAAACAAAGAAAAACAAAAACAAAAGAAAAGAAAAAGAATGAAAAATGAAATAAAAGAACTCAGGGTGAGCATGCTGTTCTGAATTGATTTAATTTTCCAAATTCTCAATCCTATTTGCTTTTGTGATTTAGGCTGCCCAGCGTTCAAGAAAGGTACAGATTACTAGAGATCCTGCGATGGGTACGTATATAGATCCATGTCAGGCCGAMTTTTCGGCACGCTACAGCAAAATGTCATGATATAGAACTTTYATCTGTTGGCCAAAAATAAGAAATGAACTTGCTATTCTGACAAGGAGTGTTAAACGGAGCATCATTATTTTCAAAAACTCATTGGATGCACTGCTTGCTGCAGGCAATGTGCATTTTTCAYTGACAAGACTGAATCCGATTGTTGAAATATGAATCCATTTCACGACCCATCATTGTCATCTTCTTTTTSATGATTAATGTACTCTTTGTTTTTCTTTCTTCACTTAATTTTCGTGTGTTTTTCTTTTTTATTGCTGACTTAAGTAAAAAAAATATCTGCGAATGAGCATCTGCCATTAGAAATAAAAGTCTCAGTGTTATGAGTAGATTAGCTTGAGGCAAATTTGATAGACGTACTGTTGTTTGCCCTTTTTTTCATTTCCTTCGACATACAGACACGTTTCCGACATGAACGTCTTAATACCATAGATATCATCATTTTTTGAACTAATATGTGGTCTCTAGAACAATTATTGGCTTCCAAGGAATCTTTCGAAATAAAAAAAACTCCAATGCAAAACAATGATATAAAATTATATGTAACTGGTTATCATCTATTTTAGGTTTTGGGTTCGTTGCTGGCAGCGAAAAACCTGTTGTTATTCGTTCTGTGATTCCGGGTGAGAATAAATCGTTTTATTGTGTGTTATTGTGTTATGATAGTCGCAAACAATCACTCGTACGCACACAAGAACGGCTTAAGCATGCAAAGAAGAAGTAGCTTTAATATGGTACAAAAGACACAAAGATATAATGAAATGAAGCAATTATTACTGCGAGGAAGCGAGTGGGTGTACTAATAGCGCAATAAGGCCGGTATTCAAAAGAAATTATATAAATTGATCAGCACGCCGGCTCTAAGCGCTTACAAATACTTTGCTTCATTGTCCACTCAGCTTCATTGTATGAAGTGGAAAAGATTATGTATTAATGCAAAACACGCTTATAGAAAAAGGGACGGGGCTGAGCTCAGCAATTGGTCCCCAAAATCGCTCGGGAAACTCAAGTTTCATTTTGTTATTTTTCTTCGATTTTATTAGCGACGAGGTGTTTTTTTTTAGAAGTGATGTGTGTATTACCCGTGCTGTAGTGTGCAATCTCCTTTGTCATTTTACTCGACCCAGTCAAACATTAATTCAGTATTTAAATGGTTGATATTCGTTGAATATTGTGCCAATAATACTCGATATCATCGCTACTGCGATTAACTAATATCCTGCACTGCGCTCAAACACTTCCAGGTGCCATTTCAAACCCTTTGATCTACAACCAAGATTCCAAATGCAATAATTATGATGTTTTGCTCTTGTAGATGGTCCATCGAATGGAAAACTATATTCCAATGACCAGATACTTAGAGTAAATGGCGAAGATGTYAGTGATGTCCCTCAAGAACGAGTTATCAATCTTATCAAGTAAGCACTTCACGATTCTACAACCATTACGCTTGCGCAATGATGTGGAAGTGATGTATATTACTGGCCCGACAGCACCTGCGGATTGTTATTGTGTCATTTAGATAACTGTGGAAAAGTGATCGTTAATACAGCATCAACTACTCTATTATCCATTGACATTTTTGAAAGGATCTTCTAACTCTTATAAGCTAGCTCTTATAAACGGGGGAGGTGAAAACGTTTTGAGTGCTGTCTCACCCCTCCCCTAATAGAATCAGCTACGCAGGATACTAATCCTGGCAATCAACACAAGGAACAAGTAGACTGATTGTTGTGYACTTGAATTGCGCAGCCATTTTTCTACGAATGATTACAATAATAATGATAAAATCACAATGATAAGGCTAAGATACGGTCAGGACACGAGGGTTAAAGTAACAACAATACGCCAGCTGCGATACAGTATTAACTCATTCAATAAAGCTGGCAATCAAATGTGTTTTTGTGAGTGTGATCATACTTTCTTATAATCCCTGTCCAGGTCGTGCACCAATAGTCTGGAAATGCATGTGGTTTCTAGTGAAGATCTTCAGGATGCGAAAAACCAGGTAACCYATTACAACACTTACAGCCACAAAAATCTAACAAAAACAACATAACGACAGCAACAGGAACAACTAAAGCTAAACATCTGGACAATGCGGCGTCATTACTGATTATTTTGTGATAAAAAGAGTTGTTTATCTCAATAGGGGCAGCGTAGATCATCGTTAATGAGTAGAGCAACACGAGAGAGGCGTCGCTCATCTCCGGTCAATGTYCGATTTGCTGATGATATTGTTCAATATATTGGTCCTGCTGAGCGGGCCAGACGAGTGAGTATTGCTTTAACATTTTCACGTGTCGTCAACAGGGCGCACACACCAAATATGGAATACGTCAAAGCAACATCAACTAAATATGAAATGAATCCACACAGTTTGTTTCTCTCTGTTACTTTATCTTTTCAGCTCTTCAGTCCTACTGTGCAATAAATTGTGAAAGCCAATACAGACTAGCACTAGCTAATACACAGCAGTTTCTTAATTATTCTAATCAATATTTTCTATTATAGAGTTCTTTGCCTGTTATTCCAAATGTCCTTAAAGTGTACTTAGAAAATGGTCAAACTAGATCTTTTCATTACAATCAAAAAACTACGATTCAGGTAAACTTTCATCGCCTATTTATCGCCAGTATGACCAGTAACTTCGTTTTAAATATCACCCGCCATCATCTTAATATCGTTATCACACCATCACAAATTATTCAAGTCATAATCTTCATCACTTTACCGCGTCATCATCATCATCATCATCATCATCATAATCATCATCATCATCATCATCATCATCATGGCTTATTCCACGACTATATATCTCAATACAACAGCAATCACCTTGGTCAGTATTATAGAACTGTAGCAACAAGAAGCATGCCAGTTATAAGTTGTTGTATTTCTTATTTAGGAAATCTTTACTTCTCTTGGACAAAAGATTGGTATAAAGTCGATGCAATACTTTAGTCTCGTTCTGAGCGGGCCTCAGAAGAATCAAATGTCGTTGATCCAGAACCACGAAAAAGTAGCTGACGTAAGTAAAATCTGCGTTTTTTAAGTAGTGACAAAGGACTAAGTATAGATATTTACTGTTTGTTTTTACTCAGTATTRATTGATTATATCGTATTTTCAGGTCTATTTAAACAGAAATTGTAGCCGAACGTCCTGGGTATGCAAACTGCGTCTCTGGTAAGCCTGCATTGAGTAAAAATAAGGAACCACTCTCGTTAGATGCATTAGAAATCAATAACAAGCGTTTGGATATAACTGTTCAATTAGATTATAAGTCATTCATGGGACAAACTTGTTTTATTAGAGAATAATATTTTCAATAATATATTTTCTTTGTAGCTTTTTGCCAAGAAATCCAATTGATCTGTTTGACGAGGATCCTATTGTCTTTAACTATCTTTATGATCAGGTTAGAAATCATGCTCTATCAGTAGACCTTGTCGGCTTGGACAATGTTTGCCATATTTCAGACCCCTTGATAAAATAATTTGTTGTTCTCCATCAAGTCATGATGGATATGTATGAATGACTGTAAATCGAAGAAATCTACTTCCAAAGGCTCTAAGGGGAACAAGTGAATTTCATTATGCAGTCAAACTTGTCCCTCGGTTGCATCTGACGTTGCATCTTGTATGAAACAGTTTGCAAGCTATACTAAAAGCAGTAAAGCRGGATGTATCGCCTCCTTTTATTAAAATAAAAATGTCTTCTGATTTTCCAGATAAGCAAAGACATAGTGGAAGGACACTTTGGGAGTGACCTGAGATATGACTTAGCTATCAAACTTGCTGCTTTACACATGCAACAAAAAGCCACGCAATCTAAGAACAAGATGCCTGCAAAGCTTTCAGTYAAGATAATAGAGAAAGACTTTGACGGACTGGACCACTTCATTCCAGATGACATTATCCGTGGCGTGAAAATGAAAGATCTACGCAAGGTGATAGACCAGCAAATAAAGTTTAATCARAGCTTAGCAACGGTTGGTCAACGATATTTGACAAGTGCTGAGTGTAAGAAACAATATTTGAAAGAAGCAAGAGATTTGATGTCTTATGGTGGGAAGTACTTTAAAGTTGTACTTTATTCGTATGACCAGTTGACTACCAACGGAACAGCAAAGACCGACTCGAAGAAGGTACCGATTGTGCGACGCAATATTATAGTAAAAGGGTGGATTTAAACGTTTTGCTAAATTGTCTGTGAATTTTCATCTTTTCAGCCAAGTCAGCAGGAAGCAACGTTACTTGTAAGCCCTCGATATGGTCTGAGTCAGATGGTCAAAGGGGAGGTCAATGTGGTAAGAACATGGTTATTTATTATACATGCCTTGTTATATTTTAGATATTTGAAAGTCTTAATATTAACTTATGCTTCACAGTTATGTCAAGTTGCTGATTTAGAGCAAATCACCGAGTTCGCGATAGCTTACCATACTGAAGGAAAACGACTTTTGACGATATCGAGCAAAGACAGTAAGGTGAATACAAATATTAATAAAATATGTAGACACGATGGTATTAGAAAACAGCTTTTCAAACGTCTATAGACTCATGATGGTATTAGAAAACAGCTTTTCAAACGTCTATAGACTCATGAGATCTAATGGTCAAGCAAAGAGTCGCAGTCTTTGGTAACTACAATACACAGCTTTGTCCACAATCAAAATGACTTTCCACTTTGCAGTTCCTATAGTTAAGTTATAACGACAATTTATGTCTTAACAGGACACAGTTCTTGTCATGAAACCGCTGGACAGTATGGATCTTGTGACTTTTATCATCGGTTATCAAAAGTTGTGGAAGAAACCAACAGCAAAACTAAAAATTATTGGCGACACTGAGGAACCACTTGCTCCTCTTTCAGACGGCGGTAGGTATCCAGTCATATTTTCCACTAGAAGGCACGGCGAAATTAAAAGCAGGGGAAGAAGGAAGGCCCCTGTTGAAAAAGGGGATATTGTCCATTTTTGTTCGGGAAATGTTTAGAATAAAAATGAAAATTGTGCAGATTAAATTGAAGTATTTTCTTTTACCAAACAACTATTAACAGACATTCAGAAACCGGTAGATGAGGCAGCTTCTGCTTGTATTTTGTAAGATTGCAGTAGATACAGCCTTTTGCACAAATTATGAGACATTTTTATATATATAAATATATTGTGCAAAAGGCTGTAATCAGAAATATATAAAAATATTACAATAATTTTAGATTTTATGATTTAAAGATTTTATGTTTGTGTTTTTTCTCAGACATTCCTTCATATGCATCAATACATCGTGTTATACCAGATAGCTGGTCCTATCCATCTTTTCTTCAAGTTCCTGGAAACAATTCAAACCATAACTTTTTCGTCGACTTGTCAAACAATCCGTCTGCTGTCAATGKAAAACCAATTGAYGAAGTTGAAGATAGCAACTCCCCATTGAAACGATCTTTGGGAGATTTAACGTCTAATGAAAGTATTGGAAACGACATCGTCCCTTCGGATGTCCCCGAGAAAAGAGCCAAAAGCGATGATTCGATAAGTGTAGGAAGTTTAAACACTGACGAGCAATCAAGRGCGCTGTATGCTATAACAGAGGAGAACGACGATTTAATTACTCAACTTTCTTTTGCTAAAGAAATGTGTCAGGACAACCAGACTCAATCAAAGGCTCTTAATCAAAATATTGAATCTGAAAACAAGACAGAGTCAGATTGTACCGTCGAAGGAAATTATAAAATTGAAAGTGAACATGATGTCATTGAGGTTGATAAAATGGCTACGACAGTTGATCACAATGAAGGGAAAGACCGAAACGGTCTTGATGATTCGAATRAGTTAAAAGAAATTCAAGATGCAAACGTGGGCAAAGCAAACGCGGGCAAAGCAAACGACGCGAAAACGTTGCTTAAAGCTGATGACGATGATTTTGAACAAGCAATCAAAGACGATTTTCTTGATATAAATGATATCGACATTGATGATCGAGGTAGCGATGGAACTAATGAYGACATTCATTCAAGTCTTGCAGATTTTAGTTTTGCTGGGGAATTGTTTACACCTGACCTTAGATCATCTGCAGAATCTCTGAATATTGATGATGATATAACTACTGATGATTTACAGCAAATCAATGTGGATCATCATCGAGACCCATCTCCAAGTAAAAATGCTGAAGATATTCCTATTTCTCCAGGAGGAACAGCATTGAATCCAGTTATTTCTAGCAACATACCTATTGAACACAAGAAATATTTCTCTAAACGGATCCACGTTGATGAATTAGACACTAAACTTCTCAATGGTAAACATGATGAAATGGATGGAAAGAAACAAGAAACTATTGTTTATGATATTGATTTGGATGATAATGATTACAATGAAGATGAGGAAACGGGAATTAAGCTGCTTTCATTTACTCGATTTGATGATGGGGAATGTAAGGAGACAACTTCAGAACAAGACAGTAAAGACTCTGATATATCCTCTCTCACTTCACGTGAATCGAATAATGTAGACGAAGAAGATCCTTGTAGCAATGAGCAGARTGAACCATTGAATCTAAATACTAGAGTTGAGATGAATGAGTTTTCAAGTACAAATGCAAGGAAAACGATGGAAAACATGAAAAATCAAGAAAGTGAGATCTCCAATATCAAGGGGTTGGAACAGATTGACAGTGCAATTTTACCTGACAAGAGCGAACACATAGGTGATAATACATCAAATGTGACATTAGATCTTTTAGGTTCTGACAACAAAGTACTGTCGAGTAATACTTTAATTCTCGGAAGCGAACCGGGAGAATCTGACGACAAACCTTTCGTCACCGCAGAAGGAYCATCTTCACAAGAGATAACATTTGCCAGTGACCAAGATCTTTTGTTGATGGACTGGATCATTCCCCCTCCCCCAGGGTCGACGCGAGAACTCCAAGAAAGTGACATCACAGTAGCATCCCCACCCCCCGTAAGTCCTGATCCTGTCTCGTCTCCTCCTGTCGAACTAGCAGGATTTGACGATCTTGAAATAGATGGTTTGGTTGTTCCTCCCCCACCACTCGGCCCTTCACTGGACGAACTTATAAAGATCGTGTCCCCTCCACCAGATAAAGAAAAGAGCTTCAATAAAATATGGGATAGTCAAGTAGCTCAATCAAATGTTACTAAAGCAATGGATACGAACACCGAGGAATTGAAGAGGCTTTCATTGACCGAGGGCCAAGAAGCTGATCTAACTTTTCCAGAACGACATCATCAGCGCAGCCATTCATCAGAATCATCAGGGCCACAGAATCTTGATTTCGACAGTGACTCCGCTTATTATTACAGTGAAAGTCTGGTATCCTGTTATAGTATGAGCAATGATTCTCAAAGGACATCGGAAGATGAATTATTCGAAGAAGAAACAAACGTTTTGCCCGTAAAAGTGGACAAAGCTTTTATGCAAACAGATATACTAGATGTAAAGGATCCAAGATCTAGTAGTRATATGGACGAACGGATTAAATATAAAGGCAATTTTTCAAACCAATCATTAATAGAAGGGACTCCTATCCAAAGACATGGATGCAAGCCAACGAAAGTGATATCACAAGAACACCAGTTACCATCATATAAGAATGATATCCTTCGCACTTCACAACAAGCCACACATTTKWCTAACGGCCTTCCGTTYGACGATTATGATTGTATTGATGATGTGGTTGTTAACCCAATGAAAAAAGGGAAACCCGAGAAATCAGGTTCTGAGAGCTTAGTTCATAATGTAACTCAAAGTAGAAAAGATGATGCGGGACAAACAAAGGGTATAAATACTCAACTATCAACCCCAGCGAATCCAAATTTCTCCAACCCCACTATGGAAGTTATTCTAGCAGAAGAGGAATATTCGGATAATGCCAGTGTTTTTTCAAGCAGTTTTCCTGAATATTTGCTGCAACAATCAGATACTGCTAAAAGTCCCTTAACATCGAATGTTGAAGAGGATGGTAGAACTAGCGATTTTAACAATGACCTTCGAGTGACACCCTTGAAGAAGCCATTACTATGTAATCTCACTGTTAATGCTATTTTGCAAGACGAAGGGCCTTCAGATAACGAAAGCATTGTGTCAACAGGTTTCCCAGGGTACCTRCTGCAACAGTCGAACGTAAAAGCCTCRCGGAAGAAAGAAAGTACTTCTCGTAGTGATTCTAGTAGTCTAGAGTTCGARTCAACAACCGATGAAGAAATTTCTGTTACCACAAAACCTACAGGGAAKAGAAACGATAATGAGAATGTGGATAATGATGACATAGGTGAGGACGAGAGGARTGCGAGTTACAACACGTCTGMAAAGTTTCACAAATCCAAACTAGAAACAAAAGAACTGACTGAAAGACTTAAGCTACGGATACAAGGATGCGTTGAGGATTGTAAGCAGGCTGTATTGAAATCATCGTACTCTCCTTACTCCAGCAACTCTAAATGGAAAGAGACGGTSCAGGAYAATGCGCGTTCATTTGTTTCAGACATCAGGCAGCTGAACCTGAATGTTCAAGAAATGAATACAGTAGATATTCTACCATCTGTGAAATCCTCGCAGGAAACTCTTCAGAGCTTAATAGGATCCTTTATAATGGCTTCATCAACAAACAGTCGAATCTCTTTATATAATATAAGAATACTMGCTGACATTCTAAATGACGTCATTTGTATGTATGATGACATCATAGACAGAACCGAGGARGCCGTTCGGTTATTTCCAGAAAGGGAGAAGTGCAGAGATGTTTCAGAGAAGACTTCTGCTATGAATACTCTCATCGGATCTTTAAGTCGGAAGTTCAAAAGATTGTGATTTTTAGTCGATGCGCAATCCAYATTTTATACCAAAGGACGATCTAAAGGCAGATTATCATATAAATATCAGAAAAATCATTGCTAATTTGTATAGTTAAGTAATCATTGGTTCAACGTATTTAATTTCACATAGAGATAGATTATATATTTAAGGCAACTTTACGGCATATTTAATTATTTGATTAGATTTCACCCTTTTAATCAAAGGATGTAAGTATTCATAAAGAATCGGTATAATTTATATTCAATATCTAGTTATGTATATTAGAAATGGAATTTTTAAAGAAAATGCACTTTAATTTTAAATACGATGAGGAATAGTGTATTAGTTAAACTGATCGTGTTTCTGATTATGATTTTGAGCTATTTATAACTGACAAGGGTCCAATTTTGAATTATGGGATTGCCAATAAGAAATTAAATTTTGTGGATTGTTATTGTTTTCCATCTATTAATAACCTTACAGCGTATCGGCACTATCAACTCAAATSATCAGTATTAAACATACATCATCGCTTTAACTCCACTTTAATGATGTAGATGGTTTCACGACCGCAGAAGCACACGACTGATGTGCAAGAAACATTTATATTCTTAATATGTTTCTCGGTACGTATTGGATTGGAAATAGTATTTCTATGAAAGTTACTGTTTTAACTTTGTCCCCAAACATTATGTCAAGAAAACACTAATAAAACATCTMTTGATTAATCTTCAATGTGTTTTGATATGACAGGTGATCAGTTTGAATAAGTATTACCTAATCCCAGGGGAGGTCCAAAACTCCATTATTGCAGCAGGTTGCACTCTTATAAACTGTGAACAAGTCAGAAACACAATTGTAGAAAAGGGTCGCCTTACTTACAAGATTTTGCATGGCATTACCGATTCTAATATTTTGTCACTTTTTTGTTTAACGCCAAACTGATAAGCCGCGTGAAGCACTTTTCCAAGAAGTTTTTTTCGAATCAAGAGATTTTATTCCTATATGTATCATGGCAGCTGTAATACACTGGTTTTCYAAGTTTAGTTTGACAACTTCTACCTATACGAGAATGTATTTTAATATTAAAATATTTATGTCAGAGTGGGACTGAGGGSGCGATTCTAATTTGGAAATGAAATGATCTCATATTTATTAATCGTTTGTTCTTGTAATTAATTTTTWAATATATTCTTAGTTAATTTAACGGATGACAAAACAGTCATGAAATATCGAGCTGCACTGTCGCCCACGGTGCCCCATGCACGGTGACACGAACACTGATGCCCTTTGATGCCCTTTGTACTTGAATTTTTATACTCTCCATGCAGCAGATTTTTTGAAAAGTGCACTGTTGAATTAAAGGCGAGTTCCAGTTTTTTACCGACCAAGTAAAAACAGTTACAGGTGAGATTACAGGTAAGAACTACGAGAAAAGTTTTGTAAAGGTCCTGTTATTTTTCAAGTCTATCTAAGCTAGTAAAGCTCTCTTTCTATTTTCTACATCAACAAACATCATGACTTCTGAAAAAAAGTGATCAAGAARAATTTAAAAAGTAAAAAAGCTAGTGAAATTTCGTCTCCAAAAAGAGATGGAATCTACATAGCGATATCACATTATATTATATTCAAGCCAGTCCGGAGTCAGCATGCGTTTTAATTTCATACTTGACGCCTGTGATATTTTTAGCTACTCAAATAACACCTGCCTATGAAAGGTTTATATTCTTTTTCATTACATTTTGTTTCTCCTTGGCGATCTCTTTGCTTCTGTTGTCTCACTAGTCAAGTTGCCGTTTTAAAGGTAACCCTAGTTTTTATTCGTTGCAATGTGTAAATTTAATCATTTTACTAACTTCCGCTCAATGCATGCATGTAAATTTGCTTGTTTAGATTGTCTAGTTTATTCTGAGTATTTTAATACTTAGCTAGCCCTGCGCGAATTTTAGACGGACTCCAATGATGAACTCTTTTGCTAGCGAGCGAGACAAGCGAAGAAAATGAAAAAGAGAGACTGCAATTCTTATTCGTTTTTTTATTTTAGTTTTGATAGTTTTATGAAAAAAATGGACTGCTGTTCTTAATTCGAACTGTTTTCTTACTCGTAATTTGTGATGAAACCTGCCCGGCTATCTCAATGTGAGTTCAGTTGCTCATCATCAAATTCGTACCGCTTCAAAGTAAATGGCGAACGGCAGGCTACATTTGTAATATCTCAMTAGCAGCTAGAACTCTAGTTTGTATCTTATATACCTAAAAGAGTTTTGTTTACAAAACAACACTTAAAAGGAATAATTTTATCGAGGTGTCCCGCAGTTGAGTTTAGCCCTTGTTTTTCAGCTTGCATTGATTTAGAGTCGATTAAGATTCGTTAGGCAAACTGAATTCAAGGATCTGAAAGATTTTGGCTCAATTGCCTTATTTATGGCTCTTTTCCTCAAAACGGGAACCAGCAACAGTGACATCTGATTCTTGGTTTTGAAAATTTATTTCTTTTGAAAATTGATTCTTGGTTTATTTATAATCTACATTTTCATCTTTTATCTGGTTTTACTATTTTTAACATTTTTTTCATGCTAAAATCCCAACCCGCAAAAACAACTGTGCCGAAACGATAGAAAGACATGCCATTAGCAACCTGAACTCGCATTGATCTGTTCGGACGTGAAATGAGTAGGTTGGTACAAAAAGTGTTCAATTTCGTTTTAATATTCTTTTATTTACTTTTCAGCACAACTTAATTTGATATAATTGGATATCTTWTATTGTGTCACAGATAAATGAATATTTGTCAGGTCATTATGAGTTTTATTAAACAAACTTGTTTCTACAACGACTACTTGCAGGACATTAGTCTCCTATACCGCGTTTCTGGCCGTTAAGTACAAAAAAACAAAGCGAGAAGACGCGAAAGAGGGCCAGAAATCATGTAAAAAACCTAATCTTAGTTCCCTTTTAATGATTTTAGTGATCTCATTTTAGATGATGTTCTTAAGGGTTACGATGTATCTTTTCTTTGTGTATGTCTCGCGATTTACTCATGCAGACGAGGAACGGTTCAGAGAAAGACTGTACATCGCATCCAAAGGTAATGATGATGAGTAGATAGATAAATTGCCTAATGAAAAGATATAGATTATTGATATAAATTATAGAAAGGACATAACCCAATTATCGCGAAGCTTTAATCGGAACTAAACCTAAACCAGCCCTAATGACGGCCCGGYCCTCTAATTGGAACCTAATCTAGCCTAATCCAACTCTCTTAAATACGATACTAATCGGACCCTAATCATATCTAATCGATGTRAGTTAATGCGCATTACAGGTTATACCTTGGTTGGCAGTGTAATTGCTGTTCATGATGTCGAAACACCGATCGTCTGCGCATTTCATTGCACAGAAGAAACAAGATGTCAGTCGTACAATGTACAAGGCGATGGTGGTTTCAACAACAAATGTGAACTGAACAACAACACAAAATCGACTGTGGATTCTTCGTTCTTCGTAAGGAAAGTTGGATTTGAYTACTTTSAAGCAGAGGTATCTACAAACCTATACTCAGCATAGATCTATCTTGACGACAAACTAAATGAAACGGCAGTTTTTGTTTATCCAGTAGCAAAAAGTGTCAGAAAAGTAAGAAAAAAGCCGCTGGAGAAACAGAAAAWCGTTTACAAAGTAGTAGSSRAAAARKWMCMARAAAARKTAKTTAAAAWRKTTTKRAAAAWWWKGSMAAA